GGACCCGGCGGGAGCCAGGCTGCCTGCCCACCCAGCTCCTAAGACACTTGAAATGCAGAGCTGCAGCGGGGGTAGGTCCCGGACCCGGCGGGAGCCAGGCTGCCTGCCCACCCAGCTCCTAAGACACTTGAAATGCAGAGCTGCAACGGGGGTAGGTCCTGGACCCGGCGGGAGCCAGGCTGCCTGCCCACCCAGCTCCTAAGACACTTGAAATGCAGAGCTGCAGCGGGGGTAGGTCCCGGACCCGGCGGGAGCCAGGCTGCCTGCCCACCCAGCTCCTAAGACACTTGAAATGCAGAGCTGCAGCGGGGGTAGGTCCCGGACCCGGCGGGAGCCAGGCTGCCTCCCCACCCAGCTCCTAAGACACTTGAAATGCAGAGCTGCAGCGGGGGTAGGTCCTGGACCCGGCGGGAGCCAGGCTGCCTCCCCACCCAGCTCCTAAGACACTTGAAATGCAGAGCTGCAGCGGGGGTAGGTCCCGGACCCGGCGGGAGCCAGGCTGCCTGCCCACCCAGCTCCTAAGACACTTGAAATGCAGAGCTGCAGCGGGGGTAGGTCCTGGACCCGGCGGGAGCCAGGCTGCCTCCCCACCCAGCTCCTAAGACACTTGAAATGCAGAGCTGCAGGGGGGTAGGTCCTGGACTGAGCCAGGCTGTTGGCCAGTCTGCTAAGAATGTTACTGGCAGGGACGGGGCATGCGTGTAGTGCGTAGCATTACCCGGTGAGCTCTTACTTATCGGTTAGTCGGCCCCACTAATATTAGAGGTGGCTACTGGACTAGTTGAACTGCAGGTGCCATCTGGCCTGATGCTAAAGAACAGCCAGGACCCTGGGGGAGCACAAGCTGAATAGGGACCTGGACCTGCAGAGAAGCTCCACAAGGTGCTTGACAGGTCAGGCTTGGGGCAGAGCCCAGGCCAGGCGAAGGCTCCCGGTCCGCCATGCTGGCGAGGTCCGAAGCGGCAAGCCGAGCGGCCTGGGACTTGGCTCCGGTGTCTGAAGGGAGATGCTGGCAGCCTTCAGAGGGAAGGCAGTTCTCCAGTGCGCCCAAAGAGGCTCTGCCCCACGCTGACCAGCTTCAGTGGCTGGAGCCTCTTCCTCGCACGTGAGGGAATGGAGCCGCTGCACCAGTGTTGGGCAGCTGTCCGGCAAGGAGCTCAGCCGGTGGCTGCTCTTGGGGGTCCCTGTGATGCTGCTAAGCATGGCCACGGGGTTTATGTGCTGGATCTGGGGGAGGCACCCCTCCCGGGTTGGCAAGAGCTGTGCTTTGAGAATGGACGGTGCTGGCCTGGGTGCTTGGGTGGGCCCGAGCAATAGGCAGCTTTGCCACCTTTCTGCATCCCCCTCTTCTGGGGCCAAATAGCAGAGCTCTGTGGGGAGGAGAGCAGCCTGCCGCCCAGCCCAGCCTGGAACGACACCGTGCCCAGTGCTGCGGGCGGCTGCAGGGACTCCTGGAGCAGGAGACAGGAGGGGCGCAGCTGTGGCCCCCAGGCTGCGAAGCTCTCCCCAAGGAACTCCCCACTCTTGCTCCAGAGGCATGGCCTGCTGCTCCCCCTGGAGACTGGGCAGCCCTGGCTCCTTCCTCTGAAGGCAGGGGCTGTTGGCTGAAGTGCCTCCGTGGTTGGCTCGCCACCAGGCTGCCACGTGCTTGCTGCCACTGAGGGCAGGCTAAAGGGAGCCAGCGCCCTGCTGCTGCAGTTCCTCCTCTCGAGCAGCCAGGTGGAAGAGTTCTGCAGCTCTCCTCCCCCCAACGCCCGTGTCTGCCCTTCCTGCTCTGGGCCCACCCCCATCGCTGATTGTCCTTGGTCTACCACTGCAGGCTGGAGCTGAGAACAAGGTGCTTCTGGCTGCTTCTGGCTCCTTCCCATCGCTGTTTGCCCTGGGCCTTGAGTCATTTCCTTCCTGGGTTTGTTCGGTTGCACAGCAAAGCTGCAGCTATTGGGCAGGCGCGGTGCTCAGCAAACTCGCATGGGCCCCGGGGCTCCGGCCTGCATGTGTTGGGCGGCTAGACGAGGTGCTCCGGGCTGGGATTCGGCTTTATCCAGGGCTGGCGGGCATGGCCTAGGGCAGGGGTTGCAATGTCTCCTCCGGATGGCTGCCCCCAGCTTTGAGTGTTGGGGAGGGGTGAAGGGAGTCGTAGCTCTCTGCCCCAAAGGAGCAAGCTGAGTCAACAGCCCTTGTGGAGAGCAGCAGTGCCAAGGGCTGGCCAGAGCTGGAGTGCTTGGTCCTGCTCTGAGCCTGGGGATTTTCCATTGGGTACAGTGTCCCCCGTGCCCCCTCCCGCCCCGGGCTCCTGTCCCTTGGCCCCGTCCAGAGGGGTCCTATGGGCTCCCTACTGGCAGGGCAAGGATGTGAATGTTTAATGGGTGAGGCTTACTGGCCACGGTTAACCAGTGGGGCCCCGTGGGGGGGCGTGCTGCTCCCAGCCCAGCTGGAGCAGGCCCAGTCTGTGGCTGGGGGGGAGGGGCCCAGGAGCAGAGGGCAGGGGACTATTCCAGCCAGGCAGGAGCATGCCCATGGGTAACCCTTGCTGTGCCTGAGTCGGTGGGAGGAGCTGTGCCAGCTGGGTGGGAGGAGAGACGGCTGTGCCGGGGGGTGTCCCACCCTGCAGCTCTTGGACACTTGCTGGGTGCACAGTGCTGGAGTGCTCTCCCTTGGGCTCTTACCAGGGCTGAGGCTGGAAGGGCGCCTGGCACCAGGACCTGCTTTCCAGACACTGACCTACCCTGCTCCCTGCCTGGGCGTGGGTCCCGGTCTGCAGGAGTGCAGGCTGGAGCACCTTGCCCAAGGCTCCCCGGTGAGTCGGCGGCAGAGCTGGGATTAGAGCAGGAACTCTCGTGTCTCCGTCCCAGGCCCTGCCCTTTCGTCCCTGGAGGGGAAGCCTGGGCTCTAGGTAGCCTCACGCCTCGTGTGCTAGGCAGGAAACGTCACAGTGCCAGGGAAACGTTACCCCGCGGCCGGGGATCCGTTCCGAGATGGCGTCGGCGCTCGGCCTGGGAGCTAGAACTCGGCTGACACACACTGGGCGGCCTTAGGTGCTCTTAGGCCTTTCCCAGGCCTGGCTGAGATTCCCCTTCAGTAAATGCAGATAGCGCCTTGGGAATGCTTAGCCAGAGGAGCTCGTGACTTCCTGCTCCTCTCTGGGGGG